TCCCAATCTTTTAATCGCTTGCCTGTTACTTTATCTTTTGAATATAAAGAATGTTGCAATAGCACACAGATAGAGTATTTGGAATTATAACCATAAGTATATGCAAGTATACGTACAGCTTCAGGTATTAGAATATAAAATAAGTTTCAAATTTAAAGAAAAATTCTTAAGCATACTTAATATACATAATAAATCAAACATGGTATCATGAGTTGTTCAATTGGAGGCCAAACAAAAAAAACAAGAAAAAGAAAAATGAAAGAATGGAAAGATGAAAAAACAAGAGATTAAAAAAGGAAGAGACAGAGAGAAGGAGAAGGAGGAGAAGAAGAAATTAAATTAGATTTGAGGCCTCTAAAACTAAAAAAAATACAAACTCGGGCAAGAGAAAAAAAGTAATAAAGAGAATATTAGAATATAAAAAAAGTTCTACATCTAAAAATTAAAAATAAATAATAAATATGTAAGTTTAGGAAGTATCTAACTGAATGATTTAAACTATTTTGATAGAATATATTATTGTTAAACATATTTAATATATATAAAAAATCTAACATTGGGGACACACACAGAGATGTTTAGGGTTCTACGTGTGTGCACTTAATAATTAATTCCGATCCTTTCCCGTGTTTCCAGGGAAGAAAAGTTGGATCCTATCCTATTCCTATGCCCCTTGGAATAATGCACAAGGCATCCACTACAATCTATAAATACGATCCAAATCTTTGTCCTCTAACCAGTAGTATCCCAAAGTACTTACATTATTAACGTATAGTGTCTCTTGTTAATTTGTTTGTGCGTTTGAATATTTGGAATTTGGCAATGGAGCTTCATTCTAAACACCAGATCGGCCTTATCTGTGTGATGCTGTTCTTACCTGCTGCGCTATGCTATTCCCAAGGCTTCACTGCCTCTAGAGCCACCTATTATCAGACCCGGGATGGCTACGGAAATCCAAGTACGTGAAACTCCTCCATTTCCCCCTCTGCGCAAATCACCTTCTATTGTACTTTGATGATGCACGTGCATGCTACTTTAATTTTGAGATCTAGGATATCCTTCTAACTATTTTATAAACATGTAGGGGGAGCTTGTGGATATGGCTATTACGGCAAAACTGTAAACAAAGGGAAGGTTGCAGCCGTGTCTGGGCTGTGGAGAGGAGGCGCTGGATGCGGTGCTTGCTATCAAGTAAGTGTTTTAATTTCTTCCATGTAATAAGTATAACTTTGAAATTGATCAATATCAAATAATACACGATTGTTTCATGAACGATATGGTGTTCCGTACGTATTCAGGTAAGGTGTAAGAATCCAAGACTATGCGATAGCTACGGCACCATGGTAGTGGCAACAGACCACGGTGCAGGAGACAGAACGGACTTCATAATGAGTCCAAATGCTTTCACTGATCTTGCACGAAGCCCCAGAGCATCGCAAGAGCTAAAGAAATACGGCGTCGTGGACATCGAATACAGGAGGGTACCCTGCACACATGCCGGTTTCAATGTGCGTATCAAGATCCATGAGGCCAGCAAATACCCACATTACCTTGCTCTTGTAATTCTCTACGTGCCTGGAATGACCGACGTCACTGCCGTTGAGATATACGACGTACGAAACTTTCAACTTAATTAGTGCTAATTTTTGAGGTACTTTGTTGTGTTTATGATCAACTACTTGAAATGATAATGATACAGAATAATCGCCATGAATGGATTCCAATGAGGAGAGCGTAGGGGCAGTGTTTGATATAGCTGGGGCACCACAGGGACCATTGATGCTGAGGCTGAGATTCAGTGGAAGAAAAGGGTGGGTCCAGTCGACCAAGAGTGCAATTCCTGGTGATTGGAAGATTGGAGCTTCTTATGACTCTCAAGTTCATGTCTAAATCTGATCCATCATGAAGAAGAGGGCTACATGACCTGTGTGGCTCTATAGAATGCAAGCTGTTGGTGTCGTGTCTACTGAAATAAATAAATAATATGTCTACAAGAGGAATAAATAAATAAAAAATATGTCTATTGAAATGAATAATAATAAGGGTTTGTGCATTTTCCATTTATGATGGAATTTATATATGAATAAAGAAGCCTCTTCGTTTATGTATCATGGATCTCTACAATTAATTAGCTGGTTTATATACGCTAGAACAAAATAAGGGGGTTTTTTGGAGGCGATCGTGCAGAAATAATGGCTGCTAAAGATTTGTAGCGACATCTCAGCAAAACATAAAAGTTGACTTTTGGCAATGCTTATCACCGCTAAAAATAAACTTTGAAGATAACTTTGTGCTATTATCAGTGCTAAAAGTCATACTTTTGGCAATGATTAACGTTCTTCGTCACTGAGAAATACCGTCAAAAGTCATTTCTCTTGGTAGATGTATATAGAGTTGGGCTGCTGCATGCCTCGCTAGGTAGTACGATGGAAGAAGGTGATACTTATCTTTGGATTAACCTGAAACAACTTGGATTCATCGGGAATATAAGTTGGAATAAATAAATAAATTTTATATTTACCAAAATAAATAAATAACAGGGGTTCGTGTACTTTTCCATTAGTGATTGAATCAATATACGAGCAGAGAATAACCTCTTTGTTATGTGCATCTGATTTCAAAAATTGGTGCATATAATTGGGGAGGTAGATAAATTACATATATCTTGTATATAAGAGGGAGGGAGAAAAAGAAGACATCTTTCAATGTGCGAATAAATAAATAAAAGTCTGCTATGAAGGGTTAAAGAAACGAAAAATGATCCTGTTTTTATTTCCTATTAGGCTCTAGGCTCCCACGAGAAGATGCCTTGCATTGATCATTTATTAAGATTTGGATATGGAGTTGCCTAAATCTACTCACTCAATGAATGTCTTAATTATAATTATTAAATTTTATCAATATTTAAAAATTATCAATATATATTTCCTTTGTAAAATTCAAAACCATCATTGCTATTAAAACGCCCCTCACAAACGATATCTTTCCAGAAAGTTGAGATTTTGATGCCTTCTGAATATTATATAACAGCATCTCTTGTAATTGTTTAATTAAATCGACAGTTGTCATTATGTTATGTGGAATATTGAGTAAGTAAATTAGTACTAAAATCATGTCTCCAAAGGGATAGGGTAAGGACGATTTGAGTGACAAAACCGAATGGCACGCTAAAAATTGGAATCTTGATTTAATCGGCACTTCACACATTGGACTGCGGTCAATCTATGATTGAAACGATTATACTGTATAAACATTCGTTTACTTTTTTGGGGTAAGCAACATGCTTTTACTTTATATGCACATATAGATATAGATATAGATATAGATATATTTAAATATGACATAAAGACAAAGAAATGATAAAATATGTTTCAGTATAAAAAGAGATAAAATATGTTTCAACTCTGTAAAGTACTTGTGTATATATAATTAATGAAAACTGTCGTAGAAATAAAGAATTAAAAGCAAAAATCGAAATATGTTTTTAATATTTTCATTTCAATATTCATAGATTCAAGCACATTGAATTTGAATTTGCTTGCAGACCGCCCATTGAATTTTAGTTTGTTTCTGCAATACCAATTCCGTCCCATTCTTCTCCATGTATAATCTATATATCGAGCTCTGGGATAAGCTTGCATATATACCAACCTACTCTATTGTTAAATCAAATTTGAAAAAAAAATTATTCTTATTTTAATTAATTTCCACCTACTCTCTTACCAAAAGGAATATAACATGATGGTTATCTCAGATTGTCTATTCTCTCCCTCTCCTTTTAGGACGGGGAAATTTTAGAATTCCGTTGGAGGAATTAGGTAGAGGAGCAAACCGTCAACAATTTGGCATCCATTGAAATGCAATCTGTACATTAATTAGTTGCAACATTTTAAATACTCTATACTCTGCGTACCATATATCAGGTTGATAATTTTACAACATGCGAAAAAAAGAAATCTGACCAGACAAGGTAAATCAGTGTGTGTGTGTGTGTGTGTAGCTTTGCAAAAAAAAAAAAAAATTAATTAAGAAAAATGCATGTTTTGAACAATATTGGACCGTACGTGTTTCTTAAGAAAACTTGTATGTTTGATGAAGGATAAACATGTTTAAAGGAGCGAAAGTGAGAGAGGTGTCGCTATTAAAAGTAAGAATTGATAGAGACAGTTGGCATTAATTATCATTAATATATATAATACATATGAAATGGGTTTCAGACTATTATTTTAATAATGTTTCTTATTCCAGACGCATTTGAACGTGCAGCTGTGTTCGTACTACATGTGCGTGTCTTGTATTTCTCTTCCTTTGGCCGCCTCTATATTTCCATCAGGCTCCTAATCTCTGAATCAAATGACTGTTCTTCTATCTTCCTAATATAAAAATTGTTGCCATAGCAGTTGATAAATAATTGGTAGAGACGGTTGGCTATCTGGGAATGTAATCATAAATAAATAGCTTTGGATACACATAAATGAATATAGAGGCGCACACTGATTCGGGGCATGTTTGGTTCATGTCCTAATTTTTTTGTTTTTAAAGATTGTTTTGTAATACCATTTTTAGGATTGTTTTTCAAAAAAAAATAAAAATATATTTAGTTATGTTAATTTTAAAAAATTCATAATTAAAAAATAAATTGATATTAATAATTGCAGGAAATTAATGGTGGTGGTTTATTATAGAAATTAGTCAAACTAACAATATTTTCTAATAACCAAATGTAGTGTGATTTGAAAAAAAATGAAAACAATTAAATTTAAAACACTTATCTAAATGAGTTTTTTTAATTTTCTTATGTTAAAAAATAAAAAATAATTTTTGAAAGCGGAAACCAAACAAACTCTTATGCTAGGTTCTTTGTTCTTAATTATTAATTGCAATCAGTGTTCAAAGGGAAAGAAAAGTTGGACAGAATCTCCCTCGGAAATCACAAACAGGCCTCCTCTGTATAAATACCCCCAGCATCTTTGTCCCCTAACCAGTAAACCCAAGTTTGGTTACTACATAAATATCCAACGTAGTTTCTCTTCTTAATTTTGTGCGCATCTGAATATTTTACATTTAGCAATGGAACTTCATTCCAAACACCAAGTGGCCATTGTTTGGGTGATGATGTTCTTACCCGCTGCACTATGCTACTCTTACGGCTTCACTCCCTCCAGAGCTACCTATTATAGTGGCCACGGAAATCCAAGTAAGTCAAACTCCTTTGTTATAACCCCTCTCCACATGTCACCCTTGGAGGCTCGCCCAGCCTGCAGGTTATGCATTTTAAGTAGAGTTTGAACCTAACCTCCATGTGTTTATGTCCTAGAATTAGGATACACTTGTTACTGGCCAAGCAATTTTTATACTCTTCAAACTAGCTAGTGTCGTTTTCTAGAAAATGACGCCACATTTTAGCCCTAAATCTCAACTTAAATTTATGAGTTCTTTCACTCTATTATATATTACTTATTAAGCATGATTTTATATGACGTGAGGTTTCTCGTATCAACTCACATCAATTCACACAATTGGAGCTAGAAAATATTACTTTTGACAGTGTATGTGCAACTTTTAAGATATAGAATGTTCTTCTAACTAGCTAGTATATATATATATATATATAGGGGGAGCTTGTGGATATGGCTATTACGGCATAACTGCAAACAATGGGAGGGTTGCAGCCGTGTCCAGTAGTCTATGGAGAGGAGGCGCTGGATGCGGTGCTTGCTACCAAGTAAGTGTCTCAACGGACTAATGACTCAACAAATTACTCATCTCTTCTATATAATTTGATCAATTTTGGTTAAATTTCAATGTCGAATAATACGTTGTTGTTTCATGAAACGATGGTGTTCAGGTAAGGTGTAAGAATCCAAGATTATGCAACAGCTACGGCACGACGGTAGTGGCAGCAGACTACGGTGAAGGAGACAGAACAGACTTGATACTGAGTCCAAGTGCTTGGGCAGATCTGGGACGAAATCCAGGAGCATCGCAAGAGCTCAAGAAATACGGAGTCGTTGACATCGAATACAGGAGGGTGCCCTGCAGATTTGCTGGATATAACGTCCGTATCAAGATCCACGAGTCAAGCAGATACCCAGACTATCTCGCTCTTGTGATTCAATACGTGCCTGGAATGAGCGACGTCACTGCTGTTGAAATATATCAGGTTTCAAGCAATTGCTTTTTTGTATTATCATTTTTGGGGCAATCGCATGCCCTTGCAAATTGAGGGCGTGTATATTTTTGAACTGAAACGATTATAATGATGCACAGAATGATCGTAGAGAATGGAGGCCCATGAGAAGAGCGTATGGGGCAGTGTTTGATATAGTTGGGGCCCCACATGGACCATTGATGCTGAGGCTGCAATTCAGTGGCAGAACAGGTTGGGTGCAGTCGACCAAGAGTGCGATTCCTGGTGATTGGAAGATCGGAGCGTCCTATGATTCTCAGGTTCATGTCTAAGTAAGATCCAGCACGATGAAGAGGGGCCACGTAACCTGTGTGGCTCTGAAGAATGCAAGCTGTTGGTTTCGTGCGTGTCTTCTAATATACATATATACATATATATATATATATATATATATATATATATAATATGTCTACAAGAGGGAATAAGTTAAAAAAAAAAAAAAGGTCTGTTGGAATGAATGAATAATAGGGGTTTGTGTATTTTCCATTTATGATGGAATTTATCAATGATAAAGCAACCTCTTTGTTTATGCATCATGGTTATCTATGATTAGTGCATGCATATGATTTTCAGAGAACTAGTTATTATATATCGTAACAAAAAAAAAAGCCTGACTTTTATTTTAATTGTAACCGACTCCCGACTAGCTAAACAGATATATATGATGCAGAATATAAAAAACATAATATTATATGATGCAAAATGTGAATCTCTGACCTGCGTTAAAATTCAAGCTGTTAATTGATTTGTTAACATGGCTTAGATTTGAAATAATTTTCCGATTTTTTTTTCTTGTTTTATGTGATGGATGGACCTGACCTTAACGTGGGTTGGACCATGGAGCAATTTATGTCAAGGGGCCAGATTGAACGCAGAAGGGTAAGGGTTTTGATCGAATAAAAGTAAGTAACAACAATTATACTGTTTTTATCCCAAAAAAAAATTATATGTTGGATAAAGAAAGAAAAATATTGTTTAACTTGTAAAAAGAAATTTCTTTTTTTTCCAACAAAAAAAAAGTTTACAAAAGCGATCGAAGATGAGAAAGATGAGAAAGAGTCGTCACTTCCATTATAAGCTTAAAGTTAATGCAGTGCTTGGTTCATTGGCGAAAATAGGGATAAGAGAAAATGTGTAGAGAGAAAGTGAAGAGAAGAAAAAAAGTTGAAGATCTAATTTTCGCTCCCTATGTTTAGCTGAGCGAAAGAAAATGGGTGAAAGGAAAAATTATTAATTTCATATTAACAATAAAAATTAACCTTATTATTTATAATAAAATTTAATATTTTAACCTATTATTTATATAATTTTTATTATATATTACTGATTAAATAAAAATATGATTTTAAATTCTTTTATCCAATGCTAATAAAAAAAATATTTTGTCTAACCTAATTTTTAATTTCTTAAATTATTAAATATATAATAATCTAAATTCTAAAGTGAACAGAAAATTATGATGAAAATGGAGAGAGGCAACCGACAAGAAAAGAAAAGATTCGTAGATTAATTTAAAAATTGAGTTTTCTCTCCAAAATATTTACATATTTGACAAAATAAAGTTGAAGGTAAAAATATTTGAATCCCATTTATTATTATCTTCCCAGTTTCTTCATTTCATTTTTCTCTTCTTAGCCAAGCAAAAAAAAAAATGTCATTTTCTTTCTATTTTTCTCTCTCACTTTTTCCTTCTCCCTGCTTGTCTCTCTTACCAAGCATAGCGTAACAGTAAGGGATTCAAATCATCTAAAGTTCATATCTGTGAATTTTAGTGAAGTTAAATCAATATATTAATAATCAATAAATTAATTAAATGAAATTAAATTAAGTATATTATACTCTTCTGCCATTGTCATCAGAAGCATATATTTGAATGCAGGTGCACATGGGATTTTACAAGTTCGTTAAAACAGGGTATAAATATATTATTTTTATTTTTTTGGTAAAGAATCAATGTATTTATTAGTTTATTGCATAATTTCCTTAAGCACCTGATAATTCTAAGATTAAACTTTACAATGGGCTCCGAGTACGGACGACGCAAAACTAATTCACGCCTGCCATCATTAGAGACGCGCGGATGGAGGTCCGTTTCGGACCCAGTCAGTCAAGGAATTCAGGCGATTTGTATTGACATTTTAGTTTAGAGTCATAATTACTCTTGACCGAGTCTTGTTCATCATCACGACTAGAATTTAATTCGGGTTATGTACGCCTGTAGAAAATGATTTTTTTTATTATCTGAGTCCCCTCATTAATTCAAGAAATTACTACAGTATCTGGCATACTATAGTTAAATATATTTTTTATTTTTCTAAAATAAAAATAAAAAATTTTAAAACTATCCTTCATTTAATACTTTATTTATGAAAAAAATCAAAAGAAAGAATATAATGAAAATAAAAATATTAAAAATTAATAATAAAATTTTATTTTTATCAAATTATTTTATATTTTAAAACATCTCATCAAATGTGTCTTATAAATTGAGATTGGAGAAATATAACACTAGATACATACGTTGACTGTATACTGGCGAATTTGGATGTTCACAGCGATCCAAAGCATAGGCTTACATAACCTTTATTGGGATATTCATTATACCAGAAGGCAAGGATAGTCAAGAAGCAATTAGTACTTTTGATCTAGGATCATGTATATAATTGGTGTTTTACCCCATGCAGATGAGCCAATTACATAAACTACATGCATGCTATTAGAACAATGACAACTAATTGTATAAAAAAATAATGACAACTAACGTAGAGATCACAGAGAATTAATAAAACACATCCAAACATGTTTTTGACATATAATTTATATGCATCCAATCCTAGATTCAAGCTTTGAAACGCGCACACATTGAATTTAAGCTTGTTGCCAACGTACTCTCGTTCCTTTCTATATAAAATCCCTCGAACTCTAGGACAAGCTCGCATGCCAGACAACTCGATATTATTAATCAAATTAAGAAAAAAAATTCTTATTTTAATTGTCACCAACTCACAACCAAAACGGTTCGGATCAAACACGATGCTTATCTTTGTCAGCAGCCTACCTTTGTTCCCCCTTTACGACAAAAGAAAGTTTGGAATTCGCGGTAAAGAAAGTAAAGGGGGCAAGGCAAACCGCCAACAGTGGCGTCCATTGTAATGTGAGCCGTACATTAGAGATATATAAAGAAAAATGAGTTTACTTAGTCAAACTTTACATATATAGCTTTGCAAAAACAATACATTTTAAGGAAAATGCAAGTTTTGATCTTGAACGTACTACGGACAATTAGATGTTTGATAGAGAATAAAAATCTCGATACGACCGAAAGCGTGCCCCCAGCTCTTCTCTAAGTACTTGAAACTTTCTTAAAAGCAAGATTTGAGATTGTAGGTGTCATAATCATTATCAATATATTATAAATAATTAAAATAATTTTCTACTATCCTTTTTCTAATGTTTCATAATATTTCAGAAGTTTTTGAATGTGCACTACCTGTGCACGTCCTTTTCCTTTGGCTTTAGCCGCCTCCGGCCCCTAATCTTTGAATCAAATTTGCCAAAATTCCTCTTGTTCATATATATATATATAATGGTGCAACAGTACACAGATAGGCAATTTGGCATCATAATCATAAATGGATATAGCTTCGGATATATATATATATATATATATATATTATATAGAGAGACACTCGTGGAGATTTCGATGCTAGGGATGGTTTTAATTATTCCAACATACAATTCCGTGTTCCATAAGGGGAAGAAAAGTTGGAACCTCTCTCCCTTTGAATGCACAAGGCCTCCCCTGTCATCTATAAATACCCTTCTCATCGTTGCCTCGATCATAACCAGTAAGCCCAACAATATTTACATTTAACGAATTGTTCTTCTTGTGCGTTTGAATTTGGCATTTAGCAATGGAACTTCATTCTAAATACCAAGTCGGCCTTGCTTGCGTGCTGCTACTCTTGCCTGCACTATGTTCATCCCAGGGCTTCACAGACTCCAGAGCCACGTACTACAGTACCTCTGATGGCTATGGAACTCCAAGTACGTGAATCGATCTCCTCAAATCATTATTTGTATTCAAACCCATGCATTTAAGGAAATCCATGGCTTAGCATAGAGTCTCGCCAGACTTTTATTCAGAAGCCCCAGCTTGCTGTTATGAGCTTTTAGGTTTATGGTTGGCAAGACTTCCATGTGAACGCGCATACTAGGATATATTTGGATATACCCTTGTTATGAGGGAAGCAAATCTAAACACATTTTTGGTCCTTGGCAATACCTGTTCTCTTTGAAACTTTTATATTATTTTGAGTAGTTCATTTTGATGATGCCTGTCCAACTTTTAAGATTTAGGGTATATATGTATGATTATTGACTTAATATACCCGTGTTATCAGCCGGAGCTTGTGGATATGGCGATTACGGCAGAACTGTAAACTACGGGAGGGTTGCAGGCGTGGCCGGCTTATGGAGAGGTGGAGCTGGATGCGGTGCTTGCTACCAGGTGAGCTTCTTATCGGACTAATTAATCAATGACCCAACACAAACACGTGTGTTCCGTACACAGAAGTTATAATGGAACGATGGTGCTCAGGTGAGGTGCAAGAACTCAAGATTATGCGATAACTACGGCACGATGGTGGTGGCAACAGACTACGGTGCAGGTGACAGGACGGACTTCATAATGAGTCCCAATGGTTTCTCAAAACTGGGACGAAACCCAAGTGCATCGGCAGAGCTGAAGAAATACGGCACCGTAGACATCGAATACAGGAGGGTACCCTGCACGTACGCTGGCTACAACGTGCGTATCAAGATCCACGAGTCCAGCAATTACCCAGACTACCTTGCTCTTGTTATTCTCTACGTGCCTGGAATGAACGACGTCACTGCCGTTGAGATATACGACGTATGAAACTTTCAACTCAATTAGTGCTAATTAATTATTTCCTTCTTGTTTTTAATTATTTGAAGCGCTTAATTAATGTGCTTATCAACCTGAAATGAGAATGAAACAGAATGAGCGCCATGAATGGAAGCCAATGAGAAGAGCGTATGGGGCGGTGTTTGATATAGCTGGGGCACCACGTGGACCATTGAGGCTGAGGCTGCGATTCAGTGGAAGATCGGGTTGGGTGCAGTCGAGCAACACCGCGATTCCAGGGGATTGGAAGATTGGAGCTTCTTACGACTCTCAAGTTCATGTCTAAATTACATCCTCCATAACGAGGGGGCCACGTATGACGTAACCTGTGTGGCTTCAACTGAATGCAAGCTGTTTGGTCTCGTACTGTCAACTAAACATATAAATAATAATGTGTCTGCTGGAATAAAATGAATAATAGGGGTTTGTGTATTTTTCATTTGGGACGGAATTAATAAATGAATAAGGAAACCTCTTTGTTTATGAATCACGTGTCTCTAAAATTAGTGCATTTGTGCGCGCGCGCGTTTTTTTATATATAGAGTGAGAGAGTCCGCCCCATGCTGCATAAGAAGAACATGATCATCATCATCCTTGCTTTAACCAACTTGGCTTCTTTACATATATGGCTTGGTCTCAACGAATCACATTACTTCGACTTCGAAGGGTTTCCTTAACGGAACTGCTTATTAGAACAACCAAGAACAAGTTTTCATTATTGGTTTCATACATAATGAATTTTTTTTTTTTTTTGTGGACATCGACGACGACACCTGCTGAGCCTTTGAGCGAAACAGAAATAGGACACACACATAATGTTACCTTACAAAAAAAAAATGTTTTTGTCTTCCGTCGTACGACCAAACGTGGTATAATAGATATCATTAGACCCCAGAAAAAGGAAACAACTAAATTGACATACAGAGCTTGAAAAGGAAGAAATAACACTAGAAAAATAGGTAAAAGCGAGATGATCATGTGATGGTTATCGTAAGCGGATCGAATTGACTGAGTGTGAGTGTCATTACTCGAGTTAATCGTTCTGGCAAGACCGCCATCTTACAAACCTGTCCTGGTGGTCACAACAGCTATTGCAATCACACTCAAAATATTCGAAGAAAAGTCACAGCCGAAGCTTACAATTATGTATACACAATGAACTGGCTACGAACAACAGATAATTCTTAACTTGTAAGAGGAAGAAGAGTATTCAAAACTCATATTATCCACAAGCCAATCCACTTACAAAACCATGCTCCTGATCTTAATTTGGACAGGAGGTTGTCTACGGCATCCATTGACGCATTAATTTTGTCCCACACACAAGTGCCAATGTGACTTGTGTAACACCCTATCTAATTTTATATATAATTAATTAATATTTGATTAATATATAGAAATTAAAACTAAAAATTTAATCTCGAAGTGAGAGAGAGGCACAAAACTTTTCTCTCTATTTTATGAATATTACAAAATATAAGAAAAAAAGTCTCATTAAATATTTCATATATTATCACTAAATTTGATAAAAATTTTACAATTACTTTCTTCAATAATTAAACTCTTGATGTAACTATCCTTGTATGGTATACACATGATCCAACAAATCTTGAATGCGAGCATAACTTGTATTACTCCTTGACAAGCTATGTTATTCATAATATACTCAATAACCAATAACTAGACATATTCGATAGAAAAACAAAGTGAGAATTACAAAATTTTTTAGTAAGATATATTAAGTTTGAACTAATGATGGTCCAGTTGCCTTATGTAATATCTCAAAATTTAACCCAAAATTAATTAAGTTAATCAAGGGTAAATAAATAATTTTAAAGAAATACTTAGAGATAAATAGTTTTACTTAAGAGATTATTATTCGGATCTAATTTAGATAAAATCTTAACTTATAAATTTTTTATAAAATAAAATATTAATAATATTAAAAGAAAAGAAGAAAAGAGATATAAATTAATAAAAGAAAAAAGAAATATGAAAAAAAAAGAGGGGCGGATGAAATCTGTTTGGCGTGAGTGTTTGGTGTAAGTTAGAGAGAGAGAGAGAGAAGAAGAAATAGATGTTATGGGGCCCACAATCAATTTAAAACACCACACACCTATTTGCTTTTCATTTCCCACCCCTTTTTCGTTTCGGCGTGCGTGAGCAGAGAGAGCAAAAGTGAGCGAGTTCGCCAGCGATGGGAGCTGAATTAAAAGATGGGGCTTCATGATATAATATCTTGAATGAAATTTTAAGTATTTTAAAATTATTTAAGTATTTTAAATATTTTTTAATTATTTTTATTCTTTAGTTTCTGATGTTGAGATTTTGAAAAATCTAGAGTTTGAAAGAAAAATGAATTTTTTATAGATGATTATGATTATTGAAGTTGTTAGTAGCATAATAAATATTTTAAAATATTATTTTATTGATGAAATTTAAATTTGAGACTTTTGAGTTAAACTCTAAATCTTTATAGGTAGATTTTTGGTTAAATTTGAAAAATATAAATTAATTTGTTAATATTTAGATAATTATTTGAGATAAGAAATAGATTATTATGGTTATCAAATGATGATTTTAGGCTTGAGACTAAGTTTATAATTTTTAGTTATTTTGGTGTGAATTTATGCAATAAAAAAAGAAATTTTGACATTAAAAAATTGTTTGAAGGATGATTTTAACTAAATTTTAATGAAACTATTGTGAAGAAAGTTATTGAACTAAGTGAATGGATTCAAATATATGAAATTAAATTTTAAAATTCAAGAAGCTAAGACTAAGGTTTTAAAAACACACACACACAGATGTTGGAATATAAGTAAAAATTGTGTTAATAATATTATTGATGTATTAGGATATGATTAATAACAATTAATTTTTATTTGACACCATTCAAGTTTTAGAAAGCTTTGAAGGTAACTGAAGAAAATCTATTTTATGCATTTATATGTTAATTAATTATTTATATTTATTTATGAAACAAACAATATACATATACATATACATATATATATATATATATATATATTCAAATCTTGAAATTATTGTTTGTAATGCATATGTGGCCTTGTTGAAATCCTATAATTTGTGACAAAGTTAATTGTGACACATGTAAAGAATTTGAATGTGATGGCTGTATGTGAAGAAAAAGAAATAAATGGGAAAGTTTGCTTGTAATGTGGAATGTTAATATGAATTTATACTTTCATGGGATAATGTAACATGATTTGAGTAATGAGATTAAGGGTTAATGATGTATAAATTCTTGATTATATAAATTGTGAATTATACATAGTGATGAATTATGTATGAACATGTTGAGTTTTCATATAATGCTAATGTGATTTATGTGATAACATAAAAATTGATGTATGAGGCATGATTGAGATATGATGATTCTTGATGCTTCTTGAGCATGAAAATTGAGGAATATGTGAGATAATTGTGAATTACAAATATGAGAGTTATTGAAATGTATTGTCTCATGAGCATGATCATATGGTGGGAGTTTATTTTAGTAAAGGACCTAGTGGTTGTGCAAAATCTATATGGTTATAGTCGTTACTTACTTTGTAAGGTACTATAGCATTGTTCATATTAAGGGACTTAATCTTACTAGCTTACTTGGAGTTTTAGATAGAGTCAGTCTTTGGTATGACATTGTATAGTGTGTGATTTGGGAGAAACAATATTCATAAATGAGTAAGGTAACTTTGACCTGATAATCCCTCACAATATAATTAAGACCTTGGTAGTCTTACCACATGGATGACTCCTTTCAATTGTTGACCCATAGATTTCATGTCAAAGGAAATAAGGGGGGATGTAAGAAAAAAATTAATCATGCATTTCATTATTATTTTTTCATTTTAGTGATTGATAGCTATGTTTAAGACTATGATTATAATTGTGAAAATAAAAATATGTGGTAAATATCTGAAAAATATATATGTAGGCACCTGTGCCCATTTTATACGAACATTCAATACTTGTGGACTATCGTGCCAATTTTGTACTTGATTTTATTGAGATTATTTACATGAGTTAAATGATAATGTGATTAACATAATTTTGATATGATTGTTTACGTGGTTATCTTGATAAAATTATTAGCCACTTGCATTCATGGTTAATTATCATACATTTATATAACTTAAATATACCTTAATTACTGAATGGTTGTACTCACTCCCTTTTTTTAACATATTATAGGAGTAACTCATCTAGGAAGAATAGAGGAAAGAAGCATCAAGCCAAATGATAATAATCACTTTTGTAAACCTTTCTCTTTTTATTTTGATATGTGCATTCAGTTTATAATATTGTCAATTAAGATAATATATTCTTGATCTACTTATTTTATGAGTTTTGTGTTGGGAGGAAGTGTATTTTAAACCTTTGGAAATGTGGTTTGGTACTTATGTTTGTATTAGTAGGATAAAATACTTGTGCAAGTGAAAATAGTTATTATATACATGATTTGAAAATTTAAATATTATTATGATCTCCTTCTTAGGTTTTTTATGTCCAAAGGTGAGTAGTTAATATTATCTATATATGAATGCAAAGGAAAATTCATGCATGTAACAGCTATTAATGATTAGATAATATATAGAGTATGATTACTAGATGATAATCATTATAATAAATGTGATTGAGATTCTGGCTCCCTATTACCAATTATGAAAGGGTTTCAGTAGTGCCTAAATGTTATGTTGGTATCTATATGTAGTACGTGGAGTAGAGCATAGCAATGAAATAAGAGAATTTTTCTTCCATCTTGAAATGTGTTTTTTAATGCTTAATCAATCTCATGCTTATGCACAAGTTTGATTAAATCATGTGAGTTTTTAAAATATTTTAAAAACTTCAAATCCCTTTATTTTAAATAAGTTGTAAAAATACATGTTAAGAGTTTGTTTAGGTTAATCTCTATATGATAACCCTTTTGGTTAACTATGGATTAACTATAGTTAGTGTGATGATTTAAGTTATAATTTAAGGCACCTTTCACACCTCGTGTGTGAAAAATAATTTTCTCACTTTTAATTTTGTCTATTTCAAAATTTACATAAAGATATACAAGTAGTTATAATAGGCATTTAAAAAAATTAATAAAAGATTTTATAATATTTTAGTAAATCAAACCATCTTCCCTTAATAATTATATGTGATTATGCATTTGAAAATTATAACCAAAATATAACACTAAGCATAACCAAGGTGTCTCTCAATGTGGATCCTCATAAATAAATCTCACCCCATCTTCACTTAGATCGGGGTTATCTCAAAAATGCTAACACACAATAATATAATTTTATTTTGTATATTATTCTCATATAATTTGTTAAACCTGAATCTTTTGAATGCAAATATTTATGAAAAAAACTTCAAACATTTGGAAAGATACTTCTCGTCGAAAACATTCTTAAATTATATGTTGAAAGATCATAAATTTAAATAAATAGGATGCGTTTTTCAATA